CTGGGTTGGAAACCACAATTATGATGCAATCAGGACTGTACTTGACGATCTGAGGAATAATGAATTTGAAGACATTAACATTTCTCTGCACCAGATTGAGCCGACTCTCCCCTTCTTGCTGACGGACTCCTGCAGTTACCACTACAATCTTGGAATTGGCAGTCACAGAATAATCTTTAAAAAGAAAGGCAAAAACAGGTACTTTAAATGCAACTCTTCATTAAAACATATCCTATATGACATGCTCTAAAAGCCTAACCATACATAAGCTTCTAGAACGTATATGTGAATTAAGTTTTCTGTATTGTAAGGGCTTGAAGTTCAATGTTCCTGTGGCTTGATTTTTCTCCCTTGAGCTACACTGCAATAATCCAAACATCAAACTGCCTCAGAAAATAAAGGAAATAAAGATGACCCCAAAGTATGGTTTTGGCTACGAATTCAATGAATTGTCAGGGATAAAATGAAGTGTAAACAGTGACTCCAATAGGTAGACATCAAAAAAATAAAAAAAAAAAACCCAAAACCAATCAATCTTAAGTTACTTTTATTTTATCTTAAAAAGTTAAATTTAGGAAGGGAAGGAAGGCACTGAAGTGTTTGGTTTTGTCTGGAAACTAAAACTTGGATTTCTAATACTCAATATTTTTAGGAAGCTTATTCGCTTTTTAGCACTGCAAGTTTCCCTGGAGATTTCCTTTTTTTCTTAAGGAAGTGTGTCCTTTTTCAAAATACACAGATATCATGATTTGATGTGGTCATTTGACTCAATAGCTATGGATGATTCGCATAATTAAACTGGGTTACAATGTGGCTTTTGATGGTTAATACTTTGGCAGGTTCCTCTCCCATAAAATGGCAGTAATTATAGTCCCTACATTTCCTAAGGTTGTTGCAAAGATGAAGTAAGATGAAATAATGTGTGCAAAATGTTTCATACAGTACCCAGAATGTTACAAATTTATAAATAATAGCTATTATTTAGTTTCTTCAAGGCATTGAAATTACTTTATACCAATACTTCTGGGATCTAAAACATGCCGGTTCTCAGATACATACAACAAGCTGTTATAATACAATAGCCCAAAATGTTACATATCAAATGTGTAAAACGTATGTGGGAGAGGGTTAACAGAAGTGATACTTGAGTTTAACCTTGAGAATAAACTGGACCCACAAGAAAAGAAACTGCCAACACCAGATTCACCAGGATGGGAAGATTAATTTTATAACAGAGACAGAGAGGAGGACGATGAGCCATGAGGAAACGCAGGTTATATCCAAATTGAGAGCTGTGCAGGCCCTGCTAGAGGTTTTAGAATACAGACAAAGGTTTATAAAAAGATAAGAAATCTTTAAAGAAAAGAATGCATTTAAACTTTCATTTCAGAGAAAGCATCTGTTTTAGGATAAAGATAACTAGTGTGGCAGTGTGGAGTGTGGAATACCTAACCATTTTCTACATACACTTCCAATGGGAAAATGTCAATTTGCTACGTGTACATTTTAGTAGTAGCAAGTGGGTTTCTAGAAATGGATGAAAGAAAATTGGCCTATAGAAGAAAGGTGGTAAAATAAGCCAAACAATGCTATAAATCCGATTTGTTATTTCCTGTTGGTGACATATCAGTGATCATTTCTGGCTAGCAAACTCATTTTAGGTAGCTGTCCATTAATAAGCAAATATAAAATGTATGAGAAATAAAAAGTAGAATATGGTAGAGAAATAAGAAGAGCAATAAGAAGAGCTTTTTATTAAATGAGGAAAAAGGGGGAAATATTTTATAATTATATAACAATTTTGCAATAATTTGAATTTACTAAACTAAATTATAAATATCTTACTGACAGTTATTGAAATAACTGTTCCAAAACTTTTCCTACTTACAAATAAATCTATTATGCTGTAAGATGCATTCCAAATGTGTTTTTGGGGGCATGAAAAAATATTAGATCACTTTGGGCATTAAGTGAAATTACCTTTATCTGCCACAATTTTAGGCGTCTGAAGAAATAAGCTCCCATGCTGCAGATCCATCATTTCTCCTTTAAGCTTATCTTCCAAAACATCCACAAGAGCAAGTTCATCAGCCAGAGACTGTAAACGCAAAGACAGGCATTAGAACCCTAAGCCACTCGAGGATGCCTCAGCTCACAATCTAACCCAGAGAAAGATCTTTAACATGGCTAAGCACCAAGGTCTAAACATCTTGGGAATTTTACCATGGACTTGGATACTCAACAAGGATTCAGGTCACATGGTACAAACTATACTTTAAGAACATGTAGACTTAAAGATTCATTAGGAAACCAGCTTAGTTCAGGAGTAGGCCTACTGAATACAAGTCTATAGATTAAGCGGGAGGGAACGGTGAAAACAAACACACTCAGGCCCAGAAACAACCTTGGGCAATGTGTCCATCCTTGAGGTCACCCCAATTTGGAGGCTTTCTGAGAGGGTAGATTTGGCTTAAATCACCGGGATTTGAAACCCAGGCTGAAGCTTGGAATTTTCAGGGTGGCTCTGATCCACTCAAATGTCTTGGTGGGGAAAGGAGGGAGAGTTTTATGGGCAGAAGAATCTAGGACTCGGAGGTTTTTTCATGAGATCACTCCAAATCTGTGCCTGAGATTTGTCCAGTCTCAGATTTCTTTTGTTTTCTATTCCAATTGTCATTCTCTGTACCCCACTCAAAATCAATCTAAAGTAATGAATATACTATTTAATCTTGATCAGGCCGGGCGCGGTGGCTCAAGCCTGTAATCCCAGCACTTTGGGAGGCCGAGACGGGTGGATCATGAGGTCAGCAGATCGAGACCATCCTGGCTAACACAGTGAAACCATCTCTCTACTAAAATATACCAAAAAAACTAGCCGGGTGAGGTGGCGGGCGCCTGTAAAACCAGCTCTGGGTTGGAAACCACAATTATGATGCAATCAGGACTGTACTTGACGATCTGAGGAATAATGAATTTGAAGACATTAATATTTCTCTGCACCAGATTGAGCCGACTCTCCCCTTCTTGCTGACGGACTCCTGCAGTTACCA